AGGGTATGTCTATACTCTAGGAGGTACTGCAGTGAGTTGGGTTTCTCAACTACAGAAGATAGTTGCTCTCTCTATAACTGAAGCAGAATATGTCGCTGTTATGGAAGCCAACAAGGAGATGGTTTGGCTTCAAAGTTTCTTGGAAGAGTTAGGCAAAAAAAATAAGAAAACAATGTCTTGTATTATGATAGTCAAAGTGATATCCATCTAGCGAAGAATCCATCTTTTCATTCCAGAACGAAGCACATACAATTGCGATATCATTTTATCCGGTCTCTTCTGGAAAATGGGATTTTGAAACTTGAAAAGATTAGTGGAGCTCAAAATCCAGCAGACATATTAACAAAGATGGTGACCACAGAAAAACTGAAGTTGTGTTCAGCTTCAGTTGGCATGCTAGATAACAAGACCATAAATGTTGCTGCATCGATCGAGGTGTGATGATAGATTAAAATCAGTCTTCAAGTGAGAGATTGTTGAAAAGTCAATAATGGGGGGAACAAAAGTAAATTAAGGGGGCGCCGAATTCAGTGGGTTGGCACCGAATTCGATGCATTTATTTTTGTTGAATTTTTTAAAACGGGTTAATTATATTTTAGTCCCTGCATACTTTAGGATATTTATAAGATTAGTCCATAAGCTTCAACTATAAATACCCTAGCTCATTTATTTCTCCCAATACTAGAGAGTTTTCTTGTGAGTTGTGAGTGTTTTGTAAACACCTGTAAATTTTCTCTCTTTAGTAAAAGATCTACAACAGTCCGAAGACGTAAGCATAATTGGCTGAATTCCGTTATCAATTTCGGGTATTATTTTTCCACTTTTATTTCGCATTCTCACTAATCTGGTTATAGGGAAATTACTCGTTCTCGTTTATTTCCTAACAACAGGGAACATATATGATTAACATTTTCCCCTAAGACTGCTTCTGATTGAATCTCGTTCGATTTATCAAGCTGTGGGAACTGGGCCTCGACTTCCTCCTAAAGGCTCATAATCCCGAGAGGCAACAAATTTGTGCACATGGCTATGTGCATACTTAGAAACATCGATACCAACAATGTCTCAGGGATCCAATCTTTGATTCTTTAAAAATTGGAGTTTGAAAATTAAGAATTTCTATTAATAAACTAAAAAGAGTGTAGACACTCATTTTCGTCCGGGACTCGTTTAGTAAACGGTTTGAAAAACATATAATATATATATTTTTAAAAAAACCGGTTTTTAAATATATATATATATTATATAGTTTTAAAACATTTTGAAAGCATATATATTATATAGTTTTTAAAACATTTTGAAAACATATATAATAAATAGTTTTTAAAACATTTTGAAAGCATATATATAATATATAGTTTTTTAAAAAATATTTTGAAAATATATATAATATATGGTTTTTAAAAATATTTTGAATATACATATATAATATATGATTTTTAAAATCATTTTGAAAACTATACAATATAAAGTTTTGAAAACTTTTTAAATATATATATATATATATATATATATAATATAGTTTTAAAATATTTTTTAAAAATATATTATTATTATTTATTTTATTTTATTTTATTAACTTTATTTTATTTTTATTTTTTGGTCCATGGTCCAATAAGTCCAATCCAGGTCCAATAAGGGTGTGAGTTGCCCAACCGGGTAGGCAGGCCTGACCCAGCAAGCCCAACCGAATTAGGGTTTCAATATTTGTCACAACACCGCAAGCATGATAGTCGTTGGATCAGATCAGTTGATTCAATGGCCCACAATGGATCAGGAAATAAGGGTTTACTAAACCCTAAGATATCACTTGCGCAACCAAATATGAACCGTTGGATCTGACCCAATCCAACGACCAGAAAACGATCTACCAACCGGCCGAGATCCCTGGGACTGAACCATCCCGGGGTGTTCAGTCAAACCCACGACCGCGAAACAGTCGACCAACGTCTCGAGATAATCGGGAACGATCCCGAGATCACCGGAAATGAAACACTAGCGGTGGGGTATAAATACTCCACCAATTCTGTCATGGAAAAGACAACATCATACGAGGATCGGAGAGCAACCAAACACAGAAAACACAACATCGAACCAACGGAGGAAAAACAGAACCCAAGAACCAATATCGAAAACACAACGAAACACAAGTAACCGAGAACAAAAACACAACCAACAAGGGAAATACAAAGATATATTGTCGAAACGTCAAAAACAAGCAAAACCAGTGAAGAATCGAAACACAAAGCAAGATCTAAAGGAGCCCTCGGTGAGCGTTAGAAGGGAAAGGGTCATCGAAAAAACGAAAGGCCACCCGAAAAAGGTAAAAAACCGAGAGCTTTGCCTTTAGATCTACGACGATTGGGCCTTCTTTTTAGGAATCGGACCTTGGATTTGTGTTCACGAGATTGTGAAGATCACTTTGAGGAGGAGCAGTCGCACGGCAGAAGCGGTCGTCGGAGGTTGCCGGGCCTTCATCCGAAATGTTTTATGGGAGAGGATTTGGGAGAGTTTTTTGAGGTTTTTTTTTGGTGTTTGGTTAAAATGATTTTTTTGTTTTTTGGCCTATTTATAGGGGAGGGACCTTCTTGCAATTAAGAGATTTTTAAATTATTTCCGCAGTCCGTGGATCTTTGAAGTGTAATTCATTTTTGTCATTGTGTTAAATTTGACCTCTGAATCTTCAATTTATTCAATTCGATCCCTTTTTATAATTTAATTTTTTTTTGCAATTTAACCCCTCCAACTTTTTTTTTGTCTTGCATCACATTTTTAGTACCAATTTAATCTACTAATTTCAATTTGTTTCAATTTGATCATCTAAATTTTTATTTTATTATTTTTATTTTTTTAAAATTATTATGATTTCTTTTTATTTCATATTTTTTTATTTTATTACTTTTAAAATTTAACTTTTTATTATTTATTTATTTTATTTTTTTGACCTTTGATTTATTTAATATATTTTATTTTTTATTTTATCTTTTTTCTTTGATTTATTTTTATTTATTTTTTCTATTTCTATTTTATTTTTCCTTAGATTTATTATTATTTTTTATGTTTTTTATTTTATTTTTTCCTTTGATTTATTTAACATTTATTTATTATTTTTTGTCTATCATTTTCGATTTTTTTGAGAAATTCTAACCAATCGAATGTAAGTAATTTGAATCGTGTTTTTAAATTTTAATTTTAATTTTTAATTTTTCGCAATTAAGACAACCGGCAAATTAATTGGTACCGAAAGGGCAGTTCAAGGGTGTTAATCATTGCTTGACTGTAACCGACTCCCGAACCCGAGTCATTTCTGGTAAAACGCAGATCAGGTAAGATGGTGTCTGATCAGCCTAAAATTTTTTTAAATGCTGGGTGGCGACTTTAACCCATTTTTTCAAGTCGAAACCCAATTTCGAATTCGCCCGAAAGACGACCGTGATAAAGAGATTTATACTTTTTGTATGAAGAATCAAAATGGTTGATTAATAGGTGCCAATATGATTAAAAGGTGCTAATATGATTAAAAGGTGCAACTTAAATCACTCAAACACACACAATAAACTTTACTAGCTGTTGTAACTACTATTAACGATTGAATAATCGACTTATTATAAAATAGTCGTACTAATATTAATAACTTTTTTTTTATTTTTAAAATTTTAATGCTCAATACATAAACTGGCTCATACTTTAAAAACCATTTATATAGTTTACCCTAAATTTAATTGCCTTAATACAAAAATAAGTGCCTAAATAATGTTTGAAAAATGTTTTAGTACCTAAAGAATCTTAAAAAATATTTTAGTGTTTAAAGAATTTTTTTTATTCAAAATAAGTGCCTAAATTTTTCTCTATTGCATTTTTAGGTGCTTACTGTTAAAAAAATGATACATATTAAATCTAAATTTTAAAAAAATAAAATAAAATATAATTTAAAATAATTTAAAAATATAAACGTGACATGTGTCACTTAACGATTTTTTTTAAAGATATGTACTTAAAAATACGAAAAAAACTTAAAGTACTTATTTTTAATGAAAAAATTTTTAGATTCAAAATATTCATTTTGAATATAGTTTATGCATTTATTTTATATTTTAAGCGAGTTTAATTTCCAATTATAATAGGTGCGCCGTATTCATGAGCTTAACAAATAGAAGTGTCCAATTTATTCCCAGCTTTGCCTTTCATTTCGTCGCCTTCTTTCGACAAGATTCTCTACTCTATGAGTACTCGGCTTGCTTTTATCATCGCTCTCTCTGTATACTAATTTATTAGATCTCTTCAAACCCATCAAACAAAACCCTCTACAGAACCACCCATGGCGCTTGCCTCAGGAGGATCGAGTGTCGTGGGTTAGCCCTTCAATCCCCTTTTCTCCATTCTTTATTTTCCTTGTCGATCTTGCGTTTTTATTAATCATTCCTAGATTCCATTCTCGAGTTTCATTGATTTCTTCGTTTCATTCATATGTAATAAGAGGTTTGGTTAGTTTATCTTAAATTGAAAAGGGGTTCCTTTGTTTTTCTATTGTTCTATGGGGCTGTTATTCATTTGAAGTTTTGGGTAGCTTTAAATTTTCTTATTTGTCTTTGTTGTGGTTTCATTTCTGTTATATTCGATGTAAAATATGTTTTTTAATGGCCTAGCTTGAGTGTCTATTTAGCAATTTAAAGTATGTACCGTATGATCTGATTTTTTTATTGACAAATTTGCTAAATTACATTTATGTTTCTGCTGAGAAGCTTTACAACGACAAATTCAAGGTCATCTAAATACTGATATCTTAAAATTTTATGAGTGCTGATAGTTTGTGTTCCAGTAGTGTCCTGAATTTGTTTTACATGTAAACTTTTGAATCAAGAACATGATGAAAATTCATATTTTGTTGTGTATTTGTCATAATTAAAGTACTGGTATAAGTTCCATCGATGATTATAAAATTCTTTCGGTGTGCAAAATTGTTGCTATATTAGGCTTGAAATTGTACATTCTTTGAACAGTTACCACATTGGAGGTCTAATTTAGATTATTATTAGAGACAAATTATTATTATCATTGTTGATGTTACCTCTTTTGCCCTTTTAAACTACCTGGACCGTCCAACTTCAAGGGGTTCACACCTCAAATCGGAGGAGACTGTAAGAACCACTAATGGCTTTGAAGCAATTAAGTAGTGGCAGGTTGATTTATGTCAAGAAGGTGAAACGAATAATTAATGTGTACTTATATATCTGATATGAAAGAAGCTTTGAGAGGTGACTCATCGGTGATCATTGAAACTAACTGAGACAAATAATTAATAAATGGAAGGTTTAATCTGATTATACTCGGGCAATGTGATTGTTAGTCGTTTTAACATGATTAACCTGGAAAAATGAGAGATTACTTTTCGCACTTCTAGATTGTTGTTCTTTGGCATCAAGTGCAATGCTCGGACTTGTTATAGTATTAGCTTTACATGTCGTGAGTATTATAAATTCTTTTTGCAGTGCCTCGGAACTTCAGATTGTTGGAGAAAAAGGTACTGGAGATGGTACTGTCAGCTATGGAATTGATGATGGAGATGACATTTACATGCGCTCTTGGACTGGCACCATTATTGGTCCACATAATGTAATTTGCTTATTTTACAATCAAGAAATCATATATTTTGATGTTGTACCTTTGGATGAAACTTTGGATTTGTATTGCCAACCATCTGTGAATACTCTGAAACATTGGGCTGATATGCCATTACCCTAGTATCTTATCATTGCTCATGATTCTTTTCACAAATAGTTAGAATTCTGGTATAGTGGCACTTGTCTTTTGGATTATTCTACTCTTGAACAATGGATGTTTTACTGCTTGATTTTGGTATAGATTATTTGTACATGGATTTCTATTTCTTTCCTTGTGGTGACTCTTGTTTTTCCTGTTGTCAGACCATACATGAAGGTCGAATTTATCAGCTGAAGCTGTTCTGTGATAAAGATTATCCTGAGAAGCCACCAAGTGTTCATTTCCATTCAAGGATCAACATGACTTGTGTTAACCACGAAACTGGAGTGGTATGCTAATAATTTGTTTCATATCTGTATCTTCTTGTTGATCCTATGCTGCTTTTATTTATTGGTTCTGCAAACAATTCAGTGGTTTGAGAATGGTGCAATCCGGTTTGTTTCAATTTGTAAACTGCTTAATCAAAAAAAAAAAAAATAGAAATTAATCAAAAAAAAAAAAAAAAAAAACAATTTGATGGCATCTGATGGCAACAGGTGAAACCGAAGAAGTTTGGACTTCTTGCAAATTGGCAGAGGGAGTATACCATGGAGGATTTACTGACGCACCTGAAAAAGGAGATGGCAACCCCACATAACCGAAAGCTTGTCCAACCTCTGGAGGGCACCTACTTCTAGCTCTCGAGATTTCAGATGTCCTGGATCTAATTGCATTTCTGGTACGCAATATATAGTTTGTAATCCTTGTTGATCTAAAGAAAATACTGGGGAATGCCCCTTATCAAACTCCGTTGAAGGGATGCTTTTGATTAATGGGACTTTATCAAACTCCGTTTCCTTGGGTTCATCTTCATTATCCTTTCTTATCAAACTCCGTTGAAGGGATGCTGTTTGATTAATGGGACTTTATCCGTGTGTCGGATACAAAAAATGACCTTTTGATCATCATTTTAGTTCTAGCCTCGTTGTCCCGCTTGCTTTAGTAGAATTGCAGAATTTTCTTGTTCTTTGATCTCTTTGTTTCTCCATGTACCAAAAAAAGAAAGAAAGACCCAGGAATCTGTGTTACTTCCCGGTACATATAATCAAACAATTCAGCCTGTTTAATTGATCTATGCTTTGGGGCATGCTTCCAATTGAGAAGAAGTCCGAATTGAGGATGAATTTTGCTGTATGTTATATGACATACTTTTGGTTTTGCTTTTCTGTTCATTGCAAGTTGATCTTACTGAACCAAGCAAAAAGTGGAAGAAAAGAGGCTAAAAATATTATTGTATCACAAGTGTGTGTTTTTTTTACTGTTATTTTAGCGTATGATGTTTCCCTTGCCGTTTGCTATTGTATTACAAATGTAGTCTCATTTGTGCCTCGTGTTGTTTGTTGAATTTATTTTTACATGTTTTCAAACATGCTTAGATAAATGTCACTTGTTAATTTGTGCTAAATATATGTTGGTATATTGTTTACATATATTATGCAAAACTACTTCTACACTAATATACGAGACTCGATTAGACGCTAGTAAAATAATGCCTCAAGACTACTTAGATACTGAAGTGACGGTTGTTTGTGCAACGATGGCAAAAACTTGACCATAGAAAATGAGGTAATTATTTTTATCACTTATCATCGTCTCATTTTATCGATAATTGTAAGTGTATATTATTTTGTGTCAAATAATAGTTATAACAAATGTATCCGAGGATCAAAATCACACGGAAAAAGTATTGTATACGACCTAAGTAATAACCTGACACACTAATTAATTAAACTATTTGTCGTAATCGATTTTCGTCCGGATACGAAATTTTACTTGGCGGGAAAAGTAAAGTGAATAAATAAATGGTTTTTATTTTAAAAATGTTTTCTAAGTCGTCATCGACATTTTTGGGTTAGGTAGGTCGAATACCTAAAAATAATCTTTTAAAAGATCTTTTAAAAGAGTTTTTAGGAAAACATAATTTAAAAGAAAAAATGTATGCGTATAACCAAAAATTTATTTTTTTAGTAATAAAAGAGATTCGTGGTCGGTTACGTTTAGGGAAGGATTAATACCCCCAATAACGTCCAAAATTGGTACCCATTAATTATAAATTATCTCTATTATTGGAAATTTAAGAATTTGAATATATATTTAATTTATAATCCTGTTATTTCAAATTTATTAGTATAATTCTAAGAAAATATATTAATTTTTATATTTTTAATATATATATTTTTTAGGTTTTTATAAATAAGATATTTATTTACTTAAAAATATCAGAAAATAACATCTAATTGCTTTAAGACATCCCCTTTCTTAATATTAAAAAATAAATAAATATTAATAAAATATTTTCCTAAAAATAATTTAAAAATAATTTAAATTAAATTAAATATATATAATTTATAAAAGTAGGATATTTATTTATTTAAAAATATCAAAAAATGATATCTAGTTACTTTAAGACAACCCCTTTCTTAATATTAAAAAAATATTATTATTTAATAATATATATATTTATGACTAAAATAAAAAAAATAATTAAATTATTAAATTAAATACATTGAACATAAAAGGTAATAAAATAAATAAATTACAATTGAATAATGATCAAAACAAATAAAATTAAAATTATAGGATTAAAATATAAAATATTGAAATTAGAGATACTAATTCGAAATATTATGAGAGATAATGGTTAATAGTGTAATTTAACCTAATTAATTATTCAGGATTAAAATATTAATTATTAAATTTACAGTGGCTAAATCAGTTATTTTACCTAAAATATATAAAAGCATAGTAGGGATTAAATTATAAAGCAAATAAAATTAAGAAACCGAATTAAAATGCTCATAATTTGATTTAGTGACTAAGATGCAAAGATACAAATCTGTAATGGTTGCGGGTATAATTTACCCATCGTCCAAAATTACGCATATACCCCTCCCCAAAACGACGTCATTTGGGAAGGGTTTTGGGAAGGGGTATATAAACCCCAAATGGTAAACCCTAAGGGCCATTTTTCTCATTTTTTTCCTTTCTTCTTCCCTCTCTAAGACGAGAGAGATATCTTTATCTCATTTCTCTCTAGGATTCCCTCATCGGAGGGAATCCGGTCGTCGGCCGGTAATCACACACCGCCGTCAACTCAGCCGTGGTGGTGGCCAGAAATTACAAACTCCCCTAAATGATAGTTCTGACCGATCAAAAACCAAATTCGACCCTGTTTCTCTAAAAAAAGCCTTAGATTTTCATAAATCTAACCTTCGGTATTTCGACCCTTTTGACGGCGCGTGGAGACTCTGGTGGCGGTGTTGCTTCCTCGTTAAGCCTTTCTCTATTTTTTGGTTTGATTATTTAGCGGTTTTGGTTGCTGTTGCTTGTTGTCTTGCTCTTTGTTCTCTATTTTACAGATTCGGTGGTGGCTTTATAGGCCACCATGATGCTTTCCTCGGACCGGGTAATAGAGTATCATTCGGTGAGTCACCAAACATAAGGTGGTGACTCACCCTAAAGCCATAATATGGACGGTCTCCCTTGATTCCTGTTGAAACGGCTGGGCGTGGAACGGAAGCTGGCTGAGACGTGGAGTGGCGGTGACTGGCGTAATCCCTAGGGTATCATAACCTTAAGGGTTCCTTTTGACGCATCTGTGGATCGTTAGATCTTGCCAGATCCAACGGTGGATGGTTGATGGAGGCTGTTGCTGAGATGATGAAACCCTAGTTGGGTTTTAGGGTTACTGTTGGGCCGATTTAGGTTGGGCTTTTGGGTACCCATTTGTAATTGGGCTTCTGGGCATCCATTTGTAATTGGGCTTCTGGGTACCCATTTGTAATTGGGCTCCGGTTTGGACTTGTAATAATATTAATAATTTATTTAATAATAATAATAATAATATAATTAATAATAATAATAAAAAATAAAATAAAATAATAATAAGTAATAATAATAAATAAATAAAATGGGAAAAAACTAATGTCTACAGCTGCCCCTCTCTGCTCATTCTTGTATTAACAAGAATAGGGCAAAGATGAAAAAGACAATAAGTTTTTTGTCCATTTGACTTTTCTTGATTATGATGTGTTGAGTTAATCGATCGACGGAATTGGCCAAGAGGGGGGTGAATTGGCAATTAAAAAATCTGGTGGAAGCTTTTCCAGAAAATTGAAAAGATTTGTACATCGATTTAGAGTGGTTCGACTTTCTCAACCAAAGTCTACGTCCACTACCTTAGCTATCCACACTAAGGATTTTCCAACAAATTCACTAATTTGTTCTTTCTTTTGAGGCCAAAGAGATAACCTTACAGCACCCTCAAGAATATACCCCAATTCTTGAGAACACTCTTTCTCAAAGAGAAGATTACAAATTTGCAAACTTACAAGGAAATCCTCACAAGGTAGATTGTTTGCACATTCTAGAACAAAGAAAAGAACACTAAAAAATGAATACAATTGAGTACAAGTAGTGTTCTTGAAAGCAAAATGAATATTGAATGAAAAATAGGCTTGAAATGCTCAAACTTGAGGTTTGATGATTTCTCTTTGATTTTCTCTTGATTCTAGTTGCTTGTTGTTTCTTGTTCTTGATCAATGGCTTCTAAGCTTGTTTAAATACACATTCAAATGATTCTGAACGTTGGGGATGATTAGTGGAGTCAATAGAGCCGTTTAAGTGTGAAAATAATTAATTAAAGCAGTTTGGAGCGTCAGTGCATCGATGCATACCCTAGGTGCATCGGTGCATCAGTGTAAAATTCAAATATTTTGACTGTTGGACTCTCAGTGCATCGGTGCACTTAGTGCACTGATGCATGAAATGCATTCGATGTTTTGAAAAAGCCTGAGTCCATCGATGCATGGTCTTGTGCATCGATGCATCAAATGCATTGAGTGCATCGATGCATAAAATGCATTCGATGTTTGAAAAATTAATTGGTACATCGATGCATGGATTGGTGCATCGGTGCATCACTTTGAAAAATTGATTTTAGACTTGATTTCGGTTCAAAATACTTTGTGAAAATTTGTTAAAAATAGTTTAAGTATAAAACACAAATTTTACACATTTAGTAAGGTTTGAAATTGATCTTAAAAGACTTGCAGTAATAATTTGACATTCGATTAATTGAATCGAATATACTTGGAAAATCATTTGTAAAATCTTAAAATTCATTTAAACTTATTTTGTTATATCGAAATATCAAAATGTTTTCAACAATCTCCTCCTTTTTGATATAACAAAAAACTTGAGTAATTTTAAGATTTTCTTTGAAAATAAAGTTTGAAAACCAAGTTTGAAGTTACTCCCCCTTACTTTAACACTTCCCCCTTTTTAGCACTTAATATTTCTCCCCCTTTTTGTTAAATCAAAAAGACCCAAAAATTAATTGAAACAAGATTTTGAAAAATATAGCCAATTGATTATAAGTAAATAAGATTAAGCTGCTATGATCACAATCAAAAGAGAGATTAGCCATTAGTTCCATAATCAATATTCATAAACAAATGTGAAATGGCATAATTGGTCATATGTTTCTAATGATGCAAAAGTAAATAATCATTTAGTTCAAAATAAAATTCAAACCAAACCAAACCATTAATTCAAACATTCAATCATCCAAAATAAACAATCCAAAAGACAACCATAATCCCTAAACATTCAAAATGTTTTAACAAGAAAAGTTCAAAGATGTTCCAAAAACAAAATAAGATATACTCGTCCATAGAGGGATCGGGAGGTGGAGGAGGAAATCGGGCTTGCATCTCAAGAGAGAGAGCATCTATGCGTGCAAACATCTCCCTTTGAAGCTCCATCTGTCGAGCTTCCAAAGTGTCTAAGTGTTGATTTACTGCTTCATGAGTAGCAGTCAAGTGGGATTCGAAGGAAGCATACCGTAGATCAAATATCTCCAAAAACGAACGAAAATATGGAGGCTTTTGATCCTCTTGTGGAGCTGGTTCTGGTGCAGGCTCATCGTCTAGAATGTGATCGTCGATATCTTGCATAAGTTGTTGAAACTCAGGATCATCGTCAGCAGCCAGTGAGGAGGAGGAGGAGCACGAGAAGAGCTAGGAGCAGCTCGTGAAGAGCTAGCTCCCGGGGTTTGCTTACCGGGTTGAAATACCCAAAGACCGGTTTCCTTGTCTTGTTTCCAATCCGTTTTCTTCAAGGAAGTAAGATTGATTTGGTTTTGGAGTGGGATAGGATTGTCGAGAGAGACGTCTAGACCAAGTTTGATAAAGAGGTTACTAAGAAGACATCCATAAACTAATGTTTCGACATGTTTTGAAGGAACAATGTTTATGACATCAACTAGTTGACTGAAGATAATATGGGGTAGATTGATTTTGATCTTATTCTTGAGACAGTGCATCCACCACAAATCCCTAATACGAAGAGTGGAGTACCTACCTCC